TTAGTACCGGTACATTCAAATATATAAAACAATATCTACCTGTCAAAAAGATTTACTGAACATGACATTTGTTTATAGAAAAAAAATATTCTTTTTTTATTTTTACGGCATAAATACTGCTTTAAAAATATTGGGCTACCAGTGATTGATCTTGGGCTACCAGATTTAAAAAGGGGTAGCCCAGATGGACTACCCCAAAAAAAAGTTAATTTCGAGCCCTGGTAGGTCATGTGACCTGTAGTGGTTGAACAGTAGGTCATGTGACCTGTAGCTGGTTAACAGTAGGTCATGTGACCTGTAGTGGGTTAACAGTAGGTCATGTGACCTGTAGTGGCGTTGTGTCGTCACCGGAAGCGCTGTCCTAGCACAAACCTGTGTCATATGACGCCTTACTAGCCGATTTTGGCTAAAATTCCGCTCTGCCTTTTAATCACATATTTTTATGAAATATTGTTTATTTAGTGAAATATTATTGTCATACATAATTCAATTGTTGAAACAACAGAAACTAACACATAATAACGATAATAAAATTTGTGTTTGAAGTTCGAAGTAGTTGCGTTATTTCCGGTTTCAACTAGTTCGAAAATAGAACGTCCTTGAGCGCAAGTAAATCACACGTAGAACGCCTTCCGAACCAGACATTAGCAGCGTAAACTTATTGCAAATTTGTCCAATTTTGGGGCCAGTATGTCCTTACAATATTTCTAAGTTTTATTTATCGTTTTTTAGTAAACATGCCCCTGAAACGATTTGATATACCCGTAAAACTTCTAAACATTCGAAATTTCGAACAAACTCCCGACACACCTTGCACGATATGCGTCAGATCGGTGTTGAAAGAACGCCGACCTGCAGCGTCAATGCTGTAGTGGGTTAACAGTATGTCATGTGACCTGTAGTGGTTGAACAGTAGGTCATATGACCTGTAGCGGGTTAACAGTAGGTCATGTGACCGGAAGCAGGTTAACAGTAGGTCATGTGACCGGTAGCGGTGGGACAGTAGGTCATGCGACCTGTAGTGGGTGAACAGTAGGTCATGTGACCTGTAGAGGTTGAACAATAGAATTTTTGATTAATGGGCACTTCTGAGAAAGCAACAGTGAAAAACATTTCTATTTTTTTTAACTTTGTATTCAAATAAACTTGATATAAGATTGAGATAAACATTTCTCAGCACCAAATTTCCACTGAAGAGCTTATACTGTACATAAATTTTGATGATGAAAAATTATCTTACCAGTTTCCTCAGTGGTCTTCATATGTTTTAATAAATTCTGTGAACCAACTGTAGGGACCACTAATCGTTCTTGGCTGTATAAGAGATTGCAGTAAGTGTATTAAACTATTACCCCACCATCAAATAGAGAATATCACATGGAAAAGTTATCATCAAGAAATATTATCTTGCAAATGTCCTATTGACCTCTTGAATTGTTTCATTATTATTAAGTTGCAAAAGATTGATAAGATGTGTGTAAAACATTGCAATAATTATACTTTCAATAACAGCCACTTAAGGGAGTATTTTTATTGCCTTTAGCAAAGACCAATAAGTGCATAATAATCTATCCAGAATGATTGATGTGGCTGAATTCATAAGACAGCATTCTTACAAAGACAAATTCTCTGTCACTTAAAATTAACATTTCTTTTTTTCATTTTTTAATATACATCTCTTATTGCCCGGCCTCTGGCTACATTCAGAGATTAAGTGTCTGGGTGGGTGCTCGAGCTGGGGTTCTAGTTCAAAGAGTTTATGACTGTGACCGAATGTTAGAAAGCTAGCATGTCTTATTGTTGTGACGTCAGGCATAGGAATATCAATCCCCACTGTAAACGTTTGAATAAATGGTAGTAATAAGAATAATAACAGAGATAAATGAAGAACAATTAGTTCAATTGCATTTTTTCAATGAACTCTATAAGGTATATCATAAAACCTTCATGGATTGGATAAGGCTTTTGTGACCCTCTGTCTTAAGGCTAACACAGCCTCGCAAGCTTGTATCCAGTCCATAAAGAGTATTATCATAAAAGTAGCAATTTATTTTGCGGCTTGTCTTCTAATAGACAATTCTTTTGTTTTTATTATAGCCATTGATTTATGTTAGGAGTCCTCTGTTTTAATTGTAAATACAATAGAAATGTATTTTGCGGCTTGCTTGTAACAGAAAATTCTTTTGTTTTTATTATAAATACCAGTTTATCTTGCTGATCAGCCAGGCAATTTCCTGTCAAATCATCATGCCTATTTAAAATTTCTTACATTTCCGACTTATACTTGACAATTAAATGATCAATACTTACAATTGTTCGTTTCCATTAGCAACTCCAATAAACTCGGCACTCTCAGTGGTAGATAAACGATGTATTTTTAGCATATTCATTTTATCAGCTTCTTGTAATTGTTTGGCCTTAGACAAATCTAAGTTTTTTAATGTTTTTGTTTCCTTCTTGACTTTCTTACCGCTGGATCTGATGGAATTAAAAGACAACATAATTCTGTAAGAACAGATGTAATGTAGAATATGAGCAATTTCAAAAATGCCAGCTTAGAAAGTCACACTGACAATTTACAATGTTTTTCTTCATTAAGAGAGGTCTTTGACATACTGGAAAACACATTATTTTGCTATACATTATTCATGGAAACCTGGTTTAATGAATGAATTTAAGAGCATAAGCATAATTTAGTGAAAATGACGTCACAATTAGAATGTTTTTTTTTTTTACAGAATTATTCCCAGTATTGGAATTTGTGAGGGTGAAAAACAAAAACAAAAAACGGTTTTACCTGAATACAAGTCTTTTTTTTAAATTTATTTTTATAAATGTGCTTCTCATTAAATACTGTAAATTGCTTGATTTTCACTCAGAAATTGTTATGATTTGATGTCATTTAAATAGACAAGTAAATTTTGTAAAAGTTTTTGACACTTCACTGCTACACAATTTCAGACTTATGAAATTGCTAAAAGTTTGTCATGAAATTAAAGAGGTTTATAGTAATTGTATCACTGAGACAAACACTTATATAGCCCAAAGTTATTAAATAATTGTTGTTATCTCAAATTGTCAAGTTTGAGTGATGGTGCAATACTAAAAGTCTCTGCAGAAATCAACAGTACAAGACAATATTTATTGTAACTTATTTTCATTTTTTACCACACTCAAGTAACCTAGTGCCTATGCTTGACTAAGCACCCACCACATACATTTGACAGATTTTTGTTTTTGGAGTGAAGTTCTAATGAGGACTCATGCTTAAAAAACATGAATTCAATCAATTATTTTCTGCATACAATCTAGTGATAAACTTACGATTGAGAAGTATATGTTTGCCCTCCATAGAATATTGTTCCTTTCTTCATTTGTTCCTTGAATGCCCTTGGTTGTGGGCCTACATATCTATCATGATGTGAGAATGGCATAATGTGTACATAAATACAATAGTTTATCAACCACATCATTTGTTCCTTGAATGCCCTTGGTTGTGGGCCTACATATCTATCATGAAGTAAGAATGGCATAATGTGAACATAAATACAATAGTTTATCAACCACATCATTTGTCATTGTTATTTTAGACTGGATTTTATAGAAAAAGACACTTAAATTTATAACAAAATATTCCAATAATTTTTCAAAACCTCTTTGACATTTATTTGTACACATGGTAAAATTCAGTCCAGATTTTAAGATTACCAAATTCAATTTTTTCAGTATGTACAAAGATAATATGACCTAGTAAGATTTGTGGAGAGCGCCCCCTAACGGCAGATCAGTAACTATGATTTATAGAGTGTGCCACCAAGTGGCAGATCAGGAGTGCATTTGTTTTTCCCAATCACAAATGTGATTGCTATTTCGATAATGTTCAATTAGAGTGTGATTTGAACAATCATGTTCTTAATGATTATCAAAAATAAATGTTAGAAAGGCGATAGGCAGCCATGGGAAAATGAACAAACAGAAATCAAATATTCAAATGTATTCATACAAAACACAGTTTTTATAAAATAGTTTGTTTCAGTAATAGCATCAAATTAATTTAGAGTGCAACCTAGTGGCAGATCAGTTATTATGAACTACATTTTTAGAAATCTATTTTGCTTGGTCCTGTGATTTGATTCATGAAGCATGCAAGCAGATGCACATCATATGTTGGCTATACTGAATAACAGCTGTTAGATTATTGATAATGTATTGATACAAGAATTTCAAAGCATACTTACGAGGCTTGTAAATCAGTTCTTTTAGAACTCATCTTTTTGTAGGCAGATTGAACATGGTATTGACAAAATTCACATTCTGTCCTGAGAAACGTAACAAAGTAGACATTTACAAGAAAACATACAGTTCTCCCTTCTTAATGTACAGTGCCAATGGACAGTTCGATGGATATACATATAGGAGGTGATATAAATGGATACATATTATCATTCACTCATGAATTTTGTGTAAACTATACTATTCTTCTCAGTTATATACCGGTAACTACAATCAGACTTAACAATTCCTTGCACACTTATATGAATATTTCTATAATTTCTATAATTGGTTAATTCTAGACAAAATGGACATTGGCTACATGTCAAATTACAGAAATAATTTAGCTATCAGCAAAAAATTGAAAAAATGAATAAACAAGCCCAATGTGTGTTGTTTACAGTTGGACATTTTCACGCAATATGCAAGATCTCACAGCAACCGGAAAATCACCTATAATCCTAAATTGACACGAGTTTCAGAATATATTTTATTGATGGTGTGATCACCATACCATGATGCATATTTATTTTGGTGCAATGTATGTAATCTTCAGGAAGACTTACTTGTTAACAAACATTGTACAATCACGGCCATCTTTTCTTCTCCCTTTACACCAACCCAAATCTTTTGATTTTCCTAACAGCATTATCTTCTGTGCATGATCCACTTTCAATGTTGATTCGTCAAGCTGTAATTAGAAAATCATCACTTTTTTTTTTTTTTTTTATTTGTGGAAAATATCTGTTACATTTAAACTGCGGCTCTTGGTGTATAAAAGGGAACATGGCCGCCAGTTTTCAGTATGCAAATGACACTCAAGTGTGAAACATCACTTCGGGGTGCTCTGCAAAATCACTCTTTTCGACAATCTTAACACATGTGGGG